CACACACACACACACACACACACACACACACACACACACACACACACACACACACACACACACACACACACACACACACACACACACACACACACACACACTATGATGTCAGCACACTAGACTCCATGCAGGGAGGATCTATGTCACCTGAAACTCTTGTCCTGCCCTCTTACTATTCTCACCCTGACAAGAAGAATTTATAACCAGGAAGTTCACCTCCCTCCTCCTCTTCTGCTTTCATAGGCAGCTTCTGCTTTTTGTATTTTGTATCTTCAGTGACCTGCTGATCGTGTTGGAAGTGGTTTCCTTCCTTCCAGGGAGGTGATCAGGTGCTGGCTGGAAGGATGACTGCCCAGGAATCAGTCCCTTTGTCAGGGTAGTAAAGCCAAGACACACCTGGAGAGCAGATCTACAGAACCAACAACTTGACAACTTGCTGGGCTCTGGACAGACAGTCTGGGAGGTACAGTAAGTACTACAGTAAGTGAAATCGCTTTGTCTTCATGTGCTGGCTCCAAGTCAGTTCATAAATACAAATATTATGCTGCAGCTTAGGTGTGCATGCTCCCTTATACATGACACAGATATTTATCAACATAATACTGTCATGTAAAGTGACATCTTGTATCGTTATTATTCTCAGAGTAATACCGATAACAATGCACAGCTTTTATATATATATAACCGGTCCCAAAATGAAGTCTGATGATGGGATTGATGCTAATATATAGAGTACCAGAATGCGGTTGTCTATAATATCTGCCTGAGACCCCATGCACTCTTCTCTATGATTCTTGGACAGTGGCTAAGCTTTGTTTTTGTTTCCTGCAAAGAAAAGCCTGGCCCCCATTGCACAGAGATTTTCCAACAAGCTGTAAAAGCTAAAGCTTACCATACACGTAAAGCTCGCCACACAATCTGATTGTATAAACTCTTTTAGTTCTACCAACAACTATGTAATAAGAAGGCCAGCCTGGTTAGATACAAATTCTTTGGATTGATTAGGTAGCTCCTCCATATTACATTGTTTTGGTAAATCGCAAGTACAAAGATTGTACTGTCACATTGTAATGTGTATAGTGACTCTTGATCTGGATATTCAATGCATTTTAGATTTACCAAAACTATGTAATATGAAGGCCTAGCCAAAGTATATCCAATCAATCTGTATCCAATCAAGCCCTTCAGGCGCTTGCACTACAGGTGTTGGTAGATCTAAAGGAGATTGGATCATGTGTGCTGAGGCATCATTCACACAGACAGAGAAGGGTAAACAGCAATGTGGATCACCAGTACTCATGGGATGAAATAAATCCAAATATTCTTTTTATTGAAGAAACATGTCACTTGTGTTGCATAGCCATTGTTTCGGAACCACGCAGGGCTACTTCATCAGGGCAGACATAGTGACCTACAGGCAAAGAAGGAACAGAAATGCAGAATCATGCATAAAATGCACATCTTTGTATGATGTGTATTGTCGAGTATATGAGCGCATATATACGCACATCTGGCCCGTATGAGTTCTTCACAAATCCTTGTTTATTTTTAGCATTAGAAACATTATCTTCTATGAGCGGGTACGTGTGCATGCGCATACACACATGTTTACCTGCGTACATGCGTAAAATACACACGATTTACGGCCCCGAAGAAAGAATCACTGCGCGCATCTGTACGCAGCATTTTTTACGCCCGTGTGAATGAGCCCTTCGCTTGAGATATTGAGCCGTTACAATGGTTCACTATTTTTATACCCCAGGGAAGCCGTGCATGTCCTTATCCTTGTCCATGGAGTGGTCAGCTGTCATTTCTTTTAGGGCCCATTCACACTAGCTGCGTGTTAAACCGTGCAGCTAGTGTCTGGTCATGGCGCCTTGTATCATTGCATAGCAAGGCCTTGTTTACTGTTTTAGATTTACTTGGAGCGTACATACGAAAAGTACACTCCATTCAGGTCCCCGCACAGCAGCATGGTGTACTGTGCTGCGTTTTGTTTACCTGCGTTGCCAAGTAGTACGCTGTGGAAAAATGCAGCATGTCTACATTTTACTGCAGCACACCACACCACAGGCGACAACTGCGCTGCAGTGTGAACAGGACACATAGAAGGCAATTGTTTTCTGTATGCCGTTGCTGAGAGCGGCACTTTTCTACTGCTGAAAAACACAGCTCTCCGCACACTTGTAAACAGGCCCCTACACCTCCAACATCTACTCGACTCTTACGCCTTTTGTAGACCTTATAAACAGGAGCTGTTTTTCTTTTTTTTTACAGAAGGAGATTTAGGTTTTATGAAATGACAGCATAATGCAGTCATAAAACACAAACGGTGCTTTGGTAGTCAGAGAAACAGATATTGTAACTACATTGAAAGGATGTGATTAAGCAAAGAGCTCAGTTAGGTATTAGGAGATCCCCTTATAAACATAAAAACAAACAGGCCGGGAGGAATGAATAAAAATTGGCTGAGACCAATCCTTCTTAAAAAAAGGAGCTGTTTTTTTTTTTTTTTACAGAAGGAGATTTAGGTTTTATGAAATGACAGCATAATGCAGTCATAAAACACAAACGGTGCTTTGGTAGTCAGAGAAACAGATATTGTAACTACATTGAAAGGATGTGATTAAGCAAAGAGCTCAGTTAGGTATTAGGAGATCCCCTTATAAACATAAAAACAAACAGGCCGGGAGGAATGAATAAAAATTGGCTGAGACCAATCCTGTCTCAACTGTTGTGGTTGCCCATAGCAACCAGTTAGCTTCTATCTTTCTTTTTTTTTTCTACACAGCTTGGAAAATGAAAATTTAAAACTCAATGGCTGTGTTCCAGTTGAGACAAAGTAATTCCCCCCATTCTGTGAAAAACTATAAGATAAACAAGACAGATACAAAATTAAAATAAGAGAAAATAAAATATATACAAAAATAAAATCAGCTAAAATAAAACATATACAAAAATAAAATAAGAGAAAATACAAACTTAAGATACAAGAAAAAAATATACAAAAAGGAAAATACACCAATCAGTGTTAAGTGCTTGCTAATAAAATGTCCTCAGGCAGTGTGAAGACCATGTAGATCAAACATCCAGTTTTAGCTGTCCATAATATTGTGACGTTCTATTTTATAAAGTGAACCTGTGCTTAGGTGGCCAGTGTGTGCCCCTCGGCACAGGGACAAGGTGCTTTTCCAGGGGCGACAATGGAAAAGCACCCTCCCTGTGCTCGGATAAAGGGTCTGAGGGTCTGGTTGGGAATTTAAGGGTGGACCCCACATCTTTTTCTCCCTATTTTTGGGGGTGGGGTTCCACCTTAAAATTCCTGCCAGACCTTAAGGGCTTGGCAGCAACCTTAAGGAAACCCCAAACACTTTTCTTTTTAAATTGTAACTTGGGGTCCCTCCTAAAATCCCTACCAGACATAAAGGGTCTGGTATGACTTTTGGGGGGAACCCCACGCTTTTTTTTTCTTTTTAAATGGGGTCCCTTCTAACTTTCCTACCAGACCTACAGGGTCTGGTGTTGTGTGGGAGGGGGAACTGCACGTTTTGGTTTTTTTCTTTAGAAATGTCAGTTTTGCTGTAGCAGGTTCTATACATCGTACAGATGCGACACTTTACAGGCAGTTTAAGGGGACCCCCCAGGCACGATATTTAAAGGAATTTTTCATTTTTATTGTTTTACTTTAAGCAATGTTAAAATTACTTCTCCTTTAAAAACTGTATTTTTTAAAAGTGTTTTTGCATTGATACATGCCCCCCAGGGCAGTACCCGGGCCCCCATACACCTTTTATGGCCAATAAATTGCATATAAGATTTTCAGAGTTCTGACTTTCATTGAGTTCGAAGTTTTTCCATTTTCTAAAGTTCGAACTCGAACCGGACTCGGGTGTGTTTTGGCCCATAACTACTCACCAGGGGTCCAGACAGTGTCACTGGCGGCTGCGGCGCAGCATACACGACTCTCTAATCAGGCGGCAGCTCGCTCCTCACTAGGGCCCGAGAGGCCCTAGCAAGCGGCCTTCTAATATGCCTGATTAGAGGGCTGCCTCTGCCTGATTGTAGCCAGCTTGGATTGCCATCAGGCATACTGTGTCGACTCTGGGCCGGCCTGGCTTATTTGCAGGGGCGGGCCTGTTGCGGGAGCTCCATGTTTCCCTATGTTAGACAGCCAACGGCTCCGGGCCAG